CATGATACAGATACATATTATTTAATACTGATAGCAGAATACTGTATATAGCGTTTTTAACAATGTATTTATAGTTATAAAACCCTCGTAGTTCGTACATGGTATTTAAATATTAATACAATGTATATTATTGTAGAAATTCTTTGTTGTGTATACTATTCTTTCCAAGTTTGTAAAGTCTTTGCATCAAATATGTTGAACTTAAAGCCAGCAAAATTATTCTTATATATGTACGATAAAATTGCTAGATGCTGATACAGAGATGCTGATAGAAGTTGAAAAAACTTAACAATGTCATTGCACTTTATCCTTCTCAAGTAGAACGGAAATGTATTGGTCTGAGTTCAGGGAATAAGACATTTTTTTGTCCATTGCCATACCGTATTTGTGATGACTAGTGTTGTGCACACGTTAAGTTAGTTGTATGTAATATTTTTAACATAATAATTTTTTTAAATAAAAAATTGAAATTGCTACAGTTTGATACAACTGCTACATTTTTATATTTCCTTTTAGGTGGTTCGTTAGATTTATCACAAAAACCCTGCTTATTACGGATCTCACCAAACTGTGGAATGCATTAAAAATTTGTATTGCCACCACTCCCACAAATATCTACGACCACACCCACATTCACCTACATATTTTGCATCTTTACAATTCTAACAGAGTTGTTTTTTCTTCCAACAACAGTAGTTTTTTTGCAAGTAAATAATGCACGAAAAACTATACAAGGGTCCCTGTGTTTAAGGTCATAGCTACAAACTCCAGTATCTGTTACCAAAATGAATATAATTGAAAGTAGAGTTTGAAAAGCGAAAGTATTCGATTAATAATTTTTTATATTATAAAATATGTCTAATGAAAATCCCCGACAGTCAGCACAGTATAAAAGTATTCATCCTGAAACAAGAATATTCTATAGAATATCCCATAAATTTCTATAGAATTTGCTATAGAATTGTATTCTAGAATATTCTATAGAATATGTCTTTGGATTTTTAGTGTGAATATGTAATAGAATATTCTATAGAATTTTGATATTCTATAGAATATTCTATAGGATTCTATAGAATATTTTCGTAAGGGATGAGCATTTCTATCTAATTAGAACAAATTATTATTACTTACTCGTCTGCTCACCACACAAATGTTGGCATTCCTGGTTTGCCAACTCTTCAATAACAGTCTCTGTCAAGGGAACTTAAAGCACAAAAAAACACAACAAGAAAATAAGTGACTAAATGTATTGCATTATAGAACTAGAATCTCGTGTGACAAAGAGGTAAAAAAAATCATGAAAGCAAATCTTCATGTAAAGGCATACACAGAATCAATGAATGGGTTCATTGTTCCTGGCACATTATACCTGATAATTTATTGGCCAAATCGTCTGTTTTTCTGGCCTGCTTCTATGCACTCACTGTGCAGACTTTTTCCAGTTCTTTGATAAAACTGAAATTGGATTTAAATTATGTTAAATTTCCCACAAAAACATTTCTGAAATGCCTGGTATCATGACGTAAGAAAAGGGACACTCTAAATGGCAATGTAAATGCATACAGTACTTACATACCTAAGCTATCTTTACATTGACGTCCATAATGGAGCAACGCATCACTCAACACATCAACTCGATGAGAAGGACGCATTTCTTTGGTCATTTTGGAAAAGCGACGTAGATATGACCATAATCTCTCTAGTTGCTCACCATCCGACAACCTAAAGTTATCAGAGCGTCTTGGACTGAACTCAAGCTGGAAATATTTTTAAAGAATTGTATACACTAGTTCATCAGAAAAAGGATTTCATTTTAGCTAACCAAGTGAGAACGAAATAAGATAAGAAAATACTTTTTACTAAGCAAAATATGACATGCTTGACTTCACAGAACAACAGTGTTGAATGCAAAATCCAGAGGGCAACATTGTTGATCAGTATTTTAAATCCATATACAATACAATACCTGACATGAGGCTATATGTCCATATATGTGAAAGGCAGGTACCACCAGAGTCACATTTGACAATAAATCAAGTTGCCCAGAGGACTAAAAACACAAGACACAAATTTAGTTGTTACATGCAAACATCTTCTTCAGCCTTCATACATGTTCAAAAACTTTAATAATTCATCAACTAAACAAAATAAATCCATGCATTAAAAAAGTTAACCACTTACCCATTACAATGTTGGCATATTATGTTATATATTATCAAATAATTACATATTGTCATTTGACATTACCTGCAAATGCTTGGTTAGCAAACATCCAATGTCATACATAATTTTAATGTCATAGGTTCCAGGTTGACATTTTGCAACAACCTCTTTTAGCATCCAAACAGCATATGCTATCCTATAGGGTAAAAACTAATTTATAGAAACACATTTCACAGTTTATCATATATATAATAGAGCCATAATATAGCCATAATTCATCTAAATTTACAGTATACCATGCACTGCTAAATGCAGTATCACTGCATATTTCTAAAATTACCTTTACCATGTTTCAAATTTACAAACTGTTTTGGGAAACCATATCTGCACACCCTGCTAAAAACACTAGTCTCATCTAAACCCTTAAATTGCGTTCTAAATCTTTAAACGTCGCCAGCTTATGAAATAAAATTTTCAACACTACAACACTACAATAGATTTGACCAGATCTAAATCATTAATACTGTTAATGCCATACAAGTTTAGTTAATAAGACGTGGTTAGTCAGATCACAGACTATGAGTAGAAGTTACTATCGCAAGGAAGTGCTGGCATCGCAAGTTCATTTATCACATGTTGATGAAAAACAACGGCTGTTTAAACTAAATTTCCACAGAGGCTTTCTGGGCTTTTTTTTCAAATGAATAATATTGTGAACATTGTCGTGAACAATAGGTGCATCAAGTATTTAGTGTTAGGTGTCTCTAATGTTACAGTAGGGAGCTTTAGTAGTGACCACGAGTACGACTACGAGATTCGTCATTCTTTTTCGTTGTTTGCTTACGCCATCAGTCAAAACTCGTAGTTAGTTGCTGAGCTTTTGAGTATGAGTTTTTTTAAATTTCGTACTCAAAAGCCCAATGACTACGAGTATTTGCTGATGGCGTAAGCAACCAACGCGCGAGAATGACGAATCTCGTACTCATAGTCGTACTCGTAGTCACTGCTAAAGCTCTTTAGTAACAATGTTGCGACAACATGTGTTTTTGCGTGTGTATTTGATATAGCATTAATTTGCTCCTGCCAGCAGCTTCACGCGTGCTGAGAGTGAGATCAGTTGTGAATAGACTCTTCAAGGTTATTTCCGCCATGTTGCCTGCGGCTGCAGAGCAAAAAAACTGGGTTTGAGCTGCACAACCCGCCAATTCAGGCATTTACATTAAGATTCAATACATATGGCAGTCACAGAATGTTTTCGTTTCTGCCACCATTTCTAACGAAGCACTGTGTTGTTGTGGCGAGACAGGATTTTATTTCAATTAATAATAGTAATACTTAATCTTGTCTCCAGTGTGCCCAGAGCCCGCAATGCTTTGCTTGCCAAGTGTGAAAATTGAAGGCTATTATAAGAGGTGGGTGGCGGCTTTTCCTGGGCGGCTGTCATCACGCGGAAATACAAATCAACACAAATCGTCCTTTGTTGTGACTTCAAGCAAGTTTAACCGCTCAATAAAACGAGTGCTTCGTTAGAAATCGTTAAATTCAGTGTTCACTTGCAGTTTCCCTACGAAGTGGCAAAAACGAAAACTTTCTATGACCGCCATTCGTATTGAATCTTAAAATTCATTGTCATCGGATCAGATGGCATCTTAAAGTGGTTAGCTCATTTTAACTTGCGATTTCTGTGGGAATACTTGACTGATTTTAATAAAAATTAAACCATTTTAAGGAGGAAATTGTCCTCAGTAGATACATCGTTTTTTTAGATTGATATGTTGCCAATTCGCCATTATATTCATGTGAGTTAAGCGCGGGCTTACTGCTCGGAATGTTGTCATATGGTTGAAAAAGGGAACAAAACTCTGATACCTTCCCCCTAGGGTAAATTTGACCCCAAAAATCGATTCCTGATGTAAAATTGGACCAAGGGGTCAGTTTTTCAGCTTTTTTTGCCTGATTTTTTTCCAATATTTGTATTATTGTGAAATAGTATTGCCGGTGATGTGATAATTCATATCATCATCATATCATCAAAAATCGGCAAAAATCCTCTAAAGGCTCGATTTTGACGCTAAAGATATCAAAATAGTTCTGAAAATGTGAACTAATTGTACTAACCTGCTGTAACCATTTTAGTTTGTATTTTGCGCAATATTTTATAGATTAGGCCACTTTGATGTGTAATATTGAATAATAAATAAATCCCATGCATTTTAAGCCTGCAGCACACAAGAGCTATCAGCTGAGCTACGGGTTACTCGTGCCTGTTTGCTCAGCCAACAGCTCACTGTCTGTGGATTGATTTTTCTGAGTTTTCTGCCATGTTATATTCTTTCAGTTTCGTGATTTATTTCAGTTCTAAAATAGCTACAAGGCTAGATATCACCATATATGATCGATTGGTTTCTCTTTATTTTATTCAGACTTTTCCAGGCGCTATTTCAAGGCGCTATTATCAAGGCGATTCACTAAAATACATGCAATAGAATGTTACTATCAATCCACTATAACAATAACAATATTTCTATGATCTACTTACATGACCTTGCAGCTTTATAACAATCGATATGTTCTTATTAAACTCTTTATATTAACATGTTCTTCGTTCTATGTTACTTCTCCCACAAAATATCAAAAAATATATCGCACGCTTCCTCGTTATTACCCCCAGCGTAGCTGTCAATCACTCTAATCTATAAAGTTCACTATAACGTCAATAATTAACTCTGAAAAGGATACATCGTGGTGATAACATCCTGCCCCCCATGAACGATCTGTTGTAGATGTAGTTCATCATAAACCGATTCTAATTTTCACCACGTTTGAACGACTGTCCTTTACATATCTTGATTATCAGCAGCTTCTAGTAAGCAAACTTTCGCGACCGGACGTCTGTATACCGAGTTTTTTGATCTTACGTCAATTGTCCTTACTCGTCCATCCGGACCAGGGAATACGTCTACGATCCTTCCCATTGGCCACGTATTTCTGGGTACATTATCATCCGCAATAAGTACCAGGTCATCAACTTGCAAATTTCTCTTGGGCTCATTCCATTTCTTTCTCTCTTGTAATGTTGGTATATATTCCCGCAGCCATCTTTTCCAATAATGATTTGCAAGTAGTTGCGCTCGTCTCCATTTCTTCTTACTATATTTGTCATTCTCGGAAATAATCTCGGGGGGTAGGTAAATCGCTGGACGAACGTTAAGGAAATGGTTTGGCGTAAGGGGTTCATCGTCGTTTGGGCTTAGTGGATTCCGGGTGAGCGGTCGTGCGTTTGCAATACGTTCAGCTGCAGTAAAAACCGTCTGCAGAACTTCCTCGTTTACTAGATCTTTCCCGACTATAGCTTTCAAGCTTCTTTTCACAGTTCGAACCAGTCTTTCCCATACACCGGACATGTGCGAGGCTCCTGGTGGATGAAAAACCCATTTACATCCTCTCTTAGATAACTCGTTATTAATCTTCGTTTCGTCCAGCTGCTGGATAGCTTCTCGGACTTCACGCTCGGCGCCGACGAAGTTTGTTCCGTTGTCAGAACGCATTTCTTTCACGTGTCCTCTTCGATTTAAAAATCGAACCAAGACTAAAATGAAATCGTCGGCTTCTAGCGACCTCGCTACTTCTAGATGAACTGCTCTGCTGTTCATGCAGGTGAATATCACTCCCCATCGTTTTTCGGTCGTTTTTCCTCTTCCACGCTTAACAAAAAAGGGGCCAAAGTAGTCCACTCCTGAATAGGTAAAGGCTGGTTCGTATGGAGTGAGTCGAGCCTTAGGCAGTTCGGCCATCTCTTGGTCCTGTCTTACTACAGTTCGTCGTTTGCATTTGATACATCCGTTTAAAACTTCTCTTATCGCCGCACGTGCTTTCAGGATCCAACAGAATTCTCTTGATAGCGCCAGAACTTGTTCATGCCCGCAATGACCGTTCTGTTCGTGCAAAAAACGAATATAGATCTCAGTCACATGGTGCTTCCTTGGCAATATCATTGGGTTTGCGGCATCTCGGGAAATTGGTGCCTTTGATATTCTTCCCCCGACTCGTATGATGGCTTCTTCGTCCAGGATCGGTTTTAAACTTGCCAGCCTACTGCCCTTGACCGTCAGACTCTTTACTAACCTCGTTATTTCTTCCTTAAAGGCTTGCCTTTGAACGAGCTTGATCACTTTACGTCTCGCATCTTCGAGGTCTTTTAATGTGATCCGTTTTACGTCTCGTGACTGAGGTTTCCTTTTCTTGCCTTCGATCCATTTAACAAACTTCTGGAGCCATGCGATCTTCCGTAAACATTTCAGCCAGCATGAGGTACTGTTGATAAGTTCATCCAAGGACTTCACATGGCTAACTTCAATGACATATACTTCTTTCTTCAATTCGAGTGAGGTTTCTGGGACATGTTGTAGCTGGGTCTTCGGCCATTTTTCTTCCGGCTGTAAAAGGAAAGCTGGCCCAGACAACCACCGTTCGTTTTGTAGAAAAAAGGGCATTTCCAATCCTCGGCTAGCGTCATCAGCTGGGTTTTCAGCGCCAGGGCAGTGTTTCCACTGCTCAGGCGACGTTAGTTCGTGGATTTCTGCGATTCGATTCGAAACGTAGGTTTGAAAGCGTCGCGTTTCGTTGTTAATATAGCTAAGGGTGATCATCGAGTCCGTCCAGAAAAACACTCTTTTAATGTCAAGCTCCAGCTCTATTTTGATAGACTTGCCCATTCGTGCAGCCAAAACGGCCGCCTGCAGTTCGAGCCTCGGGATGGTAACGGTCCTTACTGGTGCATTTCGCGCCTTTCCAGCGACGAACGAGCACTCTATCTTTCCGTCTGGATAACTGATACGAAGGTACGCGACGGATCCATATCCTACTTCTGATGCGTCACTGAAATTATGTAGTTCCAGGGTACTTTCTTCGTGCTGAGGATTGGTATAATAGCATCTTGGAATCGTTATTTTACTCAGGAGATGAAGACTTTCCTTCCAACATTGCCATCTGCGTAGTATTTCTCCTTCAAGTTGTTGGTCCCAGGAATACTTCTTTCTCCACAAATCCTGCATTAACTTCTTTGCCACTAACATTACCGGTGCAGCGAGATTTAAAGGGTCGAAAATAGTGCATATCGTGGACAGAACTCCTCTCATTGTGTCAGGTTTCTTCAATTCTGATACTTTGAATCCCAATTCGTCTGACTCGAGATTCCAGCGTGTGCCGAGAGCCCTTTCAATGGGCAGTTTATCCAAGCTGAGGTCAAGATTTGGATCGGCTCGTTTCTCGGCAGCAATCGACGACAGTACGTCGCGGTCATTACTCATGAACTTCGTCAGGTTGAAACCGCCTAGCTCACACAATTTGATCAATTCTTCTGCTCGATGGATAGCTTCTGCAGTCGTATTTAGGGACTTTAAAAGATCGTCCACATAGAAGTTCTTCTTCACGGTAGTTATAGTTCCTGGATCAAAATCTGCCTCGTTATCATCAGCTGTTTTTTTCAGAGCTGAATTTGCTGCGCAAGGGGAATCAGTTGCACCAAAAATGGACTGTCATCACGTATTCTTCCGGAGGTTTTTCAAGGTTGTCTGGCCACCACAAAAACCTCAGTGAATCTTGATCTTTCGGGCAAACCTTAACTTGGTGGAACATACTCTCGATATCAGCTGCTATTCCCACGCTTTCTTGGCGAAATCTTAATAGAACACCAACCAGGCTGTTCGTGCGGTCTGGTCCCTGTAGTAGGTTCTTATTGAGCGAGGTGTTGTCAAATTCTGCGGCGGCATCGAATACGATTCTCACTTTTCATGGTTTATTTGGGTTTAATACCGGGAAATGGGGTAGCTACCATTTTCTTGGTCCGGATTCACGGATTTCGTCTGGTGAAAGGCGACGTGCGTACCCTTTGTCGAGATAGTCCTCCATTACCGAGCGATATTTCGTTTCGAGGTCGGGTTCTCTTTTAAAGCGTCGTTTCAAGCCTTCTAGTCTCTTCTCAGCCTGCTTCCTGTTATCAGGCAAAATTGTGTTATCATCTTTCCATAGAAGCCCTGTCTCATAGTGACCATCTTTCAATTTGAACGTCTCGTCCAATATTTTCTGCGCACGTTCGTCTTCCTTTGACATACTTCCGTTTGGAAGGTAATCTTCTGCCCTTTCATGTCCAGTGGCTCTTGTTCCATACCCTTCGATACTCCAGAAGTTCTCAATTTGTTCATGCAATGTTTTATCACAGTCATTGTAATTAACGCTTACGTCTTTCTTCATTGAATCACCATCTAGAGTACCTGTTATGACCCATCCCAGAGGGCCTCGTTGGCCTTGTAGTTGTCTACCGGGCTTCTTCGATTTACGAATCTCCATGACTTCGTGTGCTTCTTCCACGTCCTTGCCAATTAACACCGACACCTTGCCAAGAGTTACATCTGGTATGTCAAGGTCAGCCAAATGCGGATACAGGTTTCTGTCGACATCTTTTGGTAAATATCTTTCAGCGATGTTAAACTTCTCGGACACCAGACCCTCTTTGACCTTAATTTTCTCTCCTTCCGATGAAGCGGGTCGCAGGTCAAACTCAACTACTTCGAATTCTTGTTGTTCTTGCTGTAATAAAGTGTTCACCAAAATTGTTTCCTTTCTTCCTTTAAGATTTAACTCTTTTGCTAATTCTGCACTTATCATTGTTCCGCGTGAGGCATTGTCTAATAGAGCATATGTGGTCAGCGATGCTCCCTCAGGAGATATTACTTGCACAGGAACTACATGAAGTAACACCAATTTCGAGGCCGTGTTTGTTATTGTTGCATACTGTTCGGTCTTCTTTTCTTTATCACGTTGTAATTTGTTGCGTTCCTCTGTATCCTCGGTTAATTTCTTGTCATTAGAGTTATTATTATCATCCTTTTTCCTCGTGTTATGGAGCAGCACGTGATGTTTCCTCTGACTATCACAGGGACAGGAGTCGGTACTGCGACAATTCTCTCTGAAATGTCCAACCTTCATGCACACATGACATAGTCTCTGTTCCTTCACGATTTCCCATCTTGCATTCAAATCTTTCTTATTGAATTCTGGACAAAAGGCGAGTTGATGGGACCGTGGACAACATGGACATTTTGGCCATTTTGTTTTCCAGGGTTTCGGGTTGTTATTATCTTTCTCACGACCTTCCTCTGTTCTCTTCTTCTCAAGATCGGTATTGTATGTCAGGGTTTCCCTCATTCTTTTGGTGTCTTCGTTCTTCCGTCCGCGCCATCCGCCCAATTTTGGCTTTACATCCATGTTTTTCCCAGTGATGGATCCTATAAACGCAGGATCATTCTTGATGGCCGCTTGTCTTTTGACAAATTGTGCAAGATCCTTGAGTCGTGGCTTTCTTCCACTTTCTCTTATCGAGTATGACGCGTCTCCCCATTTGTTGATCAGATAGCTTGGAAGCCTGGCGGCGATCAAGTTTAAATTCGATGTTGTGCTTGCTTCTTGTTCGTATTCAGTATCAAGTCTTTTCACAGACGATGTGAGCTGTTCAGCAAAGTTACGCAATCCTTTGTAGTCAGTGTTCGTTAACTTTGGACCGGATATCAAGGACTCAATACAAGAGGCAGCCACTCTTGCTGGCTGGCCATATCGTTCTTGCAAAATCGCGACGATATCCGGGTAAGAACAGCCGGTAACTCTTTTAACGGTTTCATACGCTTCTCCCGACACAAACTTAGGGAGAAACTCAATTTTTTGACTGTCATTTAGAATACCATCCTCAAGATTGTCGATTAGTCTTTTTCTGAAAGTAGGAAAGTCCGCTGGGTTGCCATCAAATTTCACGGGTTGCATCGCTTGAAGCATATTTACTTTTAACATTACTGCTTGAGCATCCGAAATCTGGTTTTTACTCGCTTCCGGTTTAGGATTTTCACATCCAGCAGTCTTGGTATGGTGTAAACTACCATGTTCGTTTTTTCCAGTTTTACTTTCTATCATGTCATTTCTGTTGTCATCCCGTTTTGGTTTGTCGTCATCACACCAAGTGGGCTCTAAATTTTTAAAGGCGGCGCGATCATTTGATGTTACGCTTGGACATGATTTTGCCCATAACTCGGTCTGTTCTATTTTTGTTAATTGTGTATTCTTGACTGGTAGAGACTTATTACTTATGCTAGATTTGTTTTCGCCATTCGGACTCGACAGGTCATCACTGTCATCATCTTGTATTAGTTCTGCCTTTCGCTCTGCGAGAGCAGCCTCTGCTTTCAGCTTTCTTACTTTCTCACGAATTTTAAATTCTATCTCAATCTTTTTCCTTTCAAACTCAGATTCAAACATCGCATCTTCTTCGGCTTGGATAGCTGCTAATCGCTTCAATTCTGCCTCCACTTTAGCTTTCTTCCCTCTTGAACTCTTCGAAGATTTTGTCGAAACCGATTTTGAATAAACACTTTTGCTTGAAGGTGCTGTGGCTTGCTGTTGCATCGTCATTAATTGACAATGACGTACCCATTCTTGCGCTCCACAAACAGAGGAAGTATAGTTTTTACTAATACTTGAATATGCCTCCTCGACACGCGCGAACTCTTCTTCTGGCAAATTCTTCGAGATATACTTTCCGTACGCAATATTATAGATTTTCCATGCATTTTCAAGGGATTCTATGAGCCCCATAATGTCGTCGGGTCCGTACCCGTTCGCGATACAACTATCTAAATGATTTATCATGGCTGTTACACGCCCTTGGCAACCGCCTAAGTTACGCTTTTGGCGATATATTTCCTCATTTTCTACAGATTCTCTATCAGTATAATTCGGTATTTTCTGTCTTCTGCTACGCCGTAGACCTAGTTCGATTTCAGCTTCGATATTTTCGTGGGTGTTGCTCGTATTATTTTTCGCATATTTGTCATGAATATCAGGCTCTTCGGGCGGTTTTTCACCGCCTTTTTCACTAGACGTTACACTTTCTTCGCCTTTCTCATTCGGTTTATCCATTATAACGTTTTATATCAGTTTTAAACGCATAACTTGTTCGAGTTTAATACGTTTCGGTTCAGAATTTCAAATGCGTAATACGTAAACAAGACGTTCGTGTATTTGATTCCACCAAACAAAGTCAAGATTCGATCGAAATCGACAAGGTCATTGAATGATGTTATATTCTTTCAGTTTCGTGATTTATTTCAGTTCTAAAATAGCTACAAGGCTAGATATCACCATATATGATCGATTGGTTTCTCTTTATTTTATTCAGACTTTTCCAGGCGCTATTTCAAGGCGCTATTATCAAGGCGATTCACTAAAATACATGCAATAGAATGTTACTATCAATCCACTATAACAATAACAATATTTCTATGATCTACTTACATGACCTTGCAGCTTTATAACAATCGATATGTTCTTATTAAACTCTTTATATTAACATGTTCTTCGTTCTATGTTACTTCTCCCACAAAATATCAAAAAATATATCGCACGCTTCCTCGTTATTACCCCCAGCGTAGCTGTCAATCACTCTAATCTATAAAGTTCACTATAACGTCAATAATTAACTCTGAAAAGGATACATCGTGGTGATAACATGCCACATGCAACCTTTTCTCACATATCAAACATGTTTGATCTATTTACTAAATCGTCTTTTCAAGCTCTATTGTTTGGTGGTATTCCGGGGTCTTTAGCCCAAATACTTACCGAGATATTTAGTTTTCCTTCTTCCCGACATTATTGTCGGGTTTAATCTATGTACGACAACAGTGAGTCAGTGGTGGGTCGCGCGGGCTGGCGCGGCTCGAAGCCAGTTTTTTTCCCTTCAGGCAATATGACGGAAATAACCTTGCAGGGGTTCGCAGACGCAGGTAACTTCCATATATAGAATGCATACCATACCAGGTAACTTCCATATATAGAACGCATACCAGAATGAATGACAAAAATTGAGATTTCACCTCAATATACGCGGCCAGACTCCGAGGCTACACGGCCAATCTCCAGATTTGCAATTAGTTACAGTAGTTAATTATGGTTTACTTTGTTACCCAATAACTATAAATAAATGCATTCCTAGTTTTTTATTGTTACGTTATGTTAATGAACAAACAAAAAATAAGCACTGTGTCTAATCTTTGATACTTTCGGTTGTGTAGGATAGGAATCAACTTTTTCTTGATTGCTGAAAAATGTTCCCCCATGCAATGGTTCTCGAACACTGAACCCAGCAGCTTTCTTACGAGTGAAGCCAAAACAGGCATCAAATGACTCAATAAGAGTACCATCACCCTAGTAATTGAATAGCTACTATTAATTATGTTTTATGAGATATGTTGTACAACAGGCACAAGATTACAGTAATATATATATTGCAACAGATCCTACCACAGGGCAAGCTCGGCAAACATTTCCATGATCTCTCTCTGGACACATTACTTTAAGACCCCGTTCACACTAGAACGAAAGTTTCCGGATTTGTAAATTTATCCGGATTCATTGTTACACACATGTATCGGATTCGTCAGGTGTTTACACTACACTTTAGTTGTCTCTGTATATGCGGATTTGTCCATTTACACTCACATTACTTGTTATTGGAGAATTGTTTGGTCGTCACGTTTGAATTTCTTCGGATTCGTCGTGCAAAGCGTTTACACAAGAAAATTCTCCGGATTCAAATGTTTCTGGATACGAAGTTTCCACAAACTTTTACGGATTAAAAGTTTCCGGATATGGCTTAAAACCAAGTACATTTTCTATCGGATTCGTTGCTGCGTGTGTAAATAGCAACACGAATCCGGTACTAAAGCATACCGCTTTCATGATGAATCCGGAAACTTTCGCTCTAGTGTCAAGGGGGTCTAAGAGTGCGTAGCTCATTTTTCATATACCTGTAAGTAAAATTGATTAAAAAAATAACAAATTATTTCCATTTTTGGCTAAACCATTTTTTTTTAACATAATAGAGGGCTGAAATTTTCAACAAAAGGGTGTGGTCAAATAGGCATAGGTAAAATGCATTTGGCTTTTAACAAATATTTGCCTTATTTTGTTGATACAAGTATGTTTTTTTTTGTAAAACATGTATTTTGCAAAGTCATGATTAATTTGCCTTCTCCAACCGTTCTTGTGGTTCACCTGTTACATATGTGTGCTGTAGAAGATTCATACTTTTATTTATTAAAAAAATAAAAAAATGAAAATTACCTATGCTCTTCAAAACAATCAAGGATTAGGTGATATAAATATTTTTTCTATAAAATAATAAAGGATATGTAAAGTAATAAGTTAAGTTCCATGAGTCATTAAAATTTGTTGTATATAGACCACTTGCATGTGACGTCACACATGACAAACTTCGTAACTAGCCACCATTTTGGGGCAAAATGGAGTACATTAACTAGTATTTTGACTCTTTAAAAGCACCTGTCTTGTACTCATATATGGTGAAGGCATGTTTATTTTGCATTCGCTGACACCGACTCGTCCCCAGTCGCTTACCTAAGGCGCGGTTAATGATGGGGCGCGCTGAATGATGGGGCGCGCTGAATGATGGGAAGACGAAGGGAAGGGACTGGGAAATCATAATTCAAGGGAAGCGAACCAGGAGCGAGAAAGGGAAGAATTTTTTAATAGGCCGGAAATAAGAAGGAAAAAAATTATTGAAAAAATGAACAAACTAGCTAGATAGATAGTAGGAATGGTAGAATAGTTATTTACAAGTAGTAGAACAAGTAGTCTTAGTTGAGCTTTAAAATGTTGTTTATAGTACTGTGAAATACAGTTCAACACTTGATATTAAATATGCAATTATGACTTCCCATGACTTCATTATGAATTGAAATACATGTGTGTGTGAAAGTATAGTTGCCCTGAATTCACGATATGTCATGAAGAAATTATTATTCAGACTGTTTCTTGAATTTTTATAGTCCTTGCAAAATCTACCAGCTCAAGATCAAATTCATTCTGTTGCGATACAACAATTGCAAGACAACACCAACAGTCTATCTATAACTGGTTCTGATGCATCATCCAAAAAACTGAGCGTGTTGCAAACCATATTTGGGTATGAAATGTTCAAGGGCAAACAAGAAGAAGCAATTAATGCTATCCTTTCTGGTAGTGATTGTTTAATTATTCTCCCTACTGCTGCTGGAAAAACAATTTGCTATTCAATTCCAGCTATAATAGCTGGTGGAGTGACTGTTGTTATTTCTCCACTTTTGTCACTTGTGCTTGATCAAGTACAACATTTAAGATCTAAGGATCTTAATGTTGCATATATCAATTCATCAGTGGCCAATGATGATCAAAATACCATCATGCATAACATGGTACCTGGTAACTCTCCATATAATTTTGTGGTTGTCACACCTGAGACTGCTGGAACAGAGGAAATGAGAAGTGCATTTCAGAATATGAAAACAAATGGTACGCTGAAATCTATTGTTATTGATGAATGCCACTGTGTCGACATGTGGGGATTTGACTTTAGACCAGCATATGCAGAACTCAGACTTCTTTCACAATTAAAGTGTCCAATAGTTGCTTTAACTGCAACATGTACTTCTAGAACTGAAGGTGTTATTATTTCATCTCTTCAAATTACCAGCCCAATCATGGTCAGAGAGACATGCACCCGCAAAAATATTTCACAATTTGTTAAAGCAAAGAAAAGAGATGGTAAAGATCAAGTGGTAAATAAAATTTTGAATGAACACAAAAACAAGTGTGGCATCATTTACTGTCTTCAAAGGTCTGACACAACTGACATATTTGTTGCAAGTGCAAGGGATTAATGCCATATATTACCATGGTGCGCTTGATCCATTTAAGAAGAAAGAGAACTTCCAAGCTTGGTGGGATGGAAAAGCCATGGTAATGTGTGCAACTATTGCATTTGGGATTGGAATTGACAAACCAGATGTCCGTTTTGTTATCCACTTAAGTTTACCCCAGTCACTCGAAAGTTATGCCCAAGAATTCGGCCGTGCAGGCAGAGATGGAGAAGAATCAACATCATGTATATTTTCGTTTTGAGGACCATACACAACACATGCATATGATTTCCTTATTACCCGAGAGCGACCACCGGGATTTAAAAAGAAGAAAAAAGGTTATCAAATATTGCATCATATCTAAATGCAGGAATCTTCAATTGGTCCAATATTTTTCTGAGGATTATAAAGAACCTTGTTGTAACATGTGTGATGTTTGCTTGGGAATATCCAATATGGAACCACAAGATGCTAGCACTGAGGCTCTTGGGTTATTAAGTTGTCTCAACAATATAAGAATTGTTCAAAATAAATACGGAAGGAAGTTGTGAGCAAGTCATTGCACATGATATTTTTAAAACACTGTAATTTCAAATACTGTTGCTATTTTTGCATAGCCACTGAGGAAATCAGTTTCAGATGGACAGGGGTAAATGGGATGTGTGTGTTATGTTTGTCCATTTGTATGTGTAACATTTATTATAATATAACATACTAACATGAGTACAGCACATTTATATAGCTAAATCTATGCATAAATTAACATATTAAACAATAATACAACATCCCTCTTCTTAAATGAATAAAAGTATACTATACTAAACTATAAACGTATAAGTTGTTTTTTTCTATTGTTCTAAAGTAATTTAATTGATTTAAAGTTTAATTAATTGTCAATTAACTATTATCCAATGTTCATAACAAATAGTCCTTAAACCTATTTGGTTTCCTGATTATTCTTCCACTTCTAGTCTTTAGTGGAGATGTACTAAGTTGTTTATCAAGTGTTACCGGTAATTGTTCCTCTGGTGTTTCTTCTAGAGATACTGCATTATCACCATCACTTGCTGGTTCTGTACCAACTGCATCCTTTTCATTGCTTTGACTAGTGCGATCATTGCTTTGACTGGTGTCATCACAATCTTCAATTCCAAATGACTGTGAGTTTCCTTCTTTCGTCTTGAGAATGTGTTTCCTATTTCTCCTATAAGTGCTTCCATCTGGACTTTGCACGATATATGACCTTGGTGTATGTGCTTTACTAATTACCACAGCTGGATTCCATACTTTTCCTTGTCTCATGCGCACTTGCTCGCCTTGTGATATTGTAGGAAGTTCTTTAGAGCCTTGGTCGTGATACAGTTTCTGAAGGGTTTTCTTAGTTATCAACTTTGAACTCGCTAGATCTTCTTCAATGACCTTGGGTTGTAGCAAAGACTTCGTTGTGGGGACGACAGATCTTAATCTTCTGCTCATCAGTAATTGCGCTGGTGAACCAATCTGATCAATGGGTGTATTTCGATATTCTAAAATACTAACGTAAGGACCTTTTCCATCTCTGTTTAATAAGTTTTTGACAGTCTGCACCGATCTTTCAGCCAGACCATTAGCTTGTGGATGGTGTGGACTGGTTGTCGTATGTTGAAAATTCCACTCTTTCGAAACTTTCCAATCTTTTTGTGATATGTACTGCGGACCATTATCACTCTTTTACTTCTCTTGGAATCCCGTGTCTAGCGAATATAGATTTCATGTGTAAAGTGCTGCTCTTAATATCTGGTAACTTCGCAATCTCAAAATAACGTAGATAGTCCACGACTAATAGATAGTTAGAATTGTTCCAGTAAAACAAATCAGTGGCGACAGTATCCCATGGAATCGTGGGAGTTGGTTGAACAATCATGGGCTCTTTCTGGTTTGATGGTCGATATTCGAGACAGGTCGAACATTTCAAAACCATTTCTTCTATCTGCGAATTCATCCCTGGACAAAACAGAACATCCCGTGCCCGCTTCTTGCATTTTTCGGTGCCCATGTGTCCAGCATGAATCTTTTCCAACATTTCTGGTCGGAGGGAATTTGGGATGATGATCTTTTCCTTCTTCAAAAGGATCCCATCAATCTCTGAGATCTCCTCTCTACAATGCCAATACTCCCTAATTTCGACTGGTGTTTCTCGTTTCGAATCTGGCCATCCGTTCAGAACAGTCTTCTTCAACTGCTGTAACGATTCATCTTCTTCTGTGGCAATCCTGAGTCTCGCCATCATGTCATCTGTTGCCGGAAGATTTGACATCACCATGTGAACATAGCACGATATTTCTTTCTCTAACTCTGAATCTGTAGTGGGAAGTGGTGCCCGTGATAGAGTGTCCCCTACCATCAGATCCTTGCCCGGTCTATGCTTGTAGGTGAAGTTATATTTCTGTAATCTTAACAACATCCTTTGCAATCTCAGAGGCGCATCATGTAAGGATTTCTTTAAAATGATCTCAAGTGGTTTATGGTCATTTTCAACAAGGACTTTCACGCCATAGGTGTACGCATTGAATCTTTCAAGAGCAAATAGAACAGAGAGAAGTTCTTTCTCAATCTGCGTGTATCTTATTTCTGCTTCAGTCATGGAACGAGACGCATAGGCAATTGGTTGTTCTTCCTGGATCAGAACTGCACCAAGTCCATTCCGCAAGGCATCACAACGCACTATAACCGGTTTAGTTGGATAAAAAAACTTCAGAACTGGTTTCGGAGTAAGAATTTCTTTAATCTCATCAAAAGCTTTTGTCTGCTCGTGGGACCAACACAACTCAATATCTTTCTTCAGCAGTTCTCTGATTGGAGCTGTGATCGTTGCGAGGTTAGGTACAAATTTTGCTAAATAATTAACAGTTCCAAGTAATCTTTCAATCTCCTTCTTCGACAAAGGTGTCGGCATGTCTTGAATTGCTTTAATCTTCGATTCGTCAGGTTTCACTCCGTCTTTCATAAAGATGTGACCACAATACGATACTTCGTTGATCTTGAACTTGCACTTGTCTACATTTAAAGTAAGATTTATTTCTTCACAACGTTGTAGGGTGGCTTCTAATCGTGCGTCATGCTCCTGTTCATCCGATCCCCAAATGAGTGTATCATCAATGTCAGTGGCTACGCCTTCAAGATCATCAAAATGTTGCAAAATTCTCTTCTGGAAAACCTCTTGTGCGGATTTAATGCCAAAAGGCATTCTCATGAAGCAATATCTGCCAAACAGTGTACTGAACCTCGTTAGGAGTTGGCTTGGCTCATCCAATGGTATCTGCCAATACCCATGTCTTGCATCTAATTTGGAGAACACTTTTGCACCAGACACCCGAGACGCTATTTTTTCTACTGTTGGTAATTGGAAATGTTCCCGTCTGATCGCTTCATTTAGATGCTTCGGGTCCAGGCATATTCGTAATCTCCCCGTTCCTGGTTTCTCCACTATTGCTATTGAATTGACCCAGTCAGTCGGTCTGTCCACTTTACGAATAACTCCTTGCTTCTCCATTTCTTCTAACTCAAGCTTCAAACGACCTTTTATTGCTACAGGAACTTTTCTCGCTGGATTTACTACTGGTGACACCTCTGGATCCAATTCAATGTGATATGGCTCCCTCAGGCACCCCAAGCCTTTAAATACCTCTGAATATTTCTCCTCAAAATCTCCCTCTTTATTAGTACCCATCACTACCTTGATTATGTTGAGTTCTTGTGACGCTTGAAAACCAAGTATAGGATACTGATCTGTTTCGCTCACGAAAAAGTTCAGCTGTTTGTTCATACATTTCAATATGCATTTGCCAACAACATTAAGTTTATCACCAGTGTAACTTGTCAATGAGGTCTTTGATGTTTGAAGCGGTCCTTTAGGCTCTTTCAATTCTCAATAAATCGACATGGGAATTATGTTCGCTTGCGATTCTGTGTCAACTTTAAACTTAATCGGTGTCTTGTGAACCTCTAGAGTTATAAAACACTCGTCTTTCGTCAATTCTGTTTTAGTCAACTGTTCGGGTTTCTTGTGAACCGTTCCAACAAATAAATTATCCGGATCTATATCGCGTTGATCAATTCCATGTACTTTCCTTGAGCGGCAACACTTCGCAAAATGATTTAATTTTAGGCATTCATGACAGACTTTGCCATATGCAGGACATTTCTTGCTCGGATGGTCTTGCCCGCATTTGCCACATTTTATTACTTCACCCGAGCCGCCCGATGGTATTTTCTGTTTTTCTCGCTTAAACTTCGCTGGTCTGCCTTCATTATTCACTTTTCTTGAACTATTCTTTACTGAATTTACTTTAAAACTATCGTTTTTCGTCAGGGGCCGGTTGTTCAAAAGCGGGCTAAATTTAACCCTGGGTTAGTGCTAACTCTGGGTTAAAATGCTTAACCCTAGGTTAACTAACCTAGGGTTAAAATTGCGTTGTTCAAAGCAAGGACAGCGCCAGGGTTAGTTAACCCAGGGTTAACAAATTAACCAATGCAATTACAAATAAACGCAAAAATGCGGTTTGGGACGCGATCACACGCAAGATAAATGCGGCGGGAGTGGCAAATAGGACGGTAAACAAGGTAAAAGAGAAGTGGAAAAAGCTGACGAGCGGCGCTAAAAAATCTTTTGCCCTCATAAAGAAACAACAACAGGGTACAGGTGGTGGCCCTCCGCCAAAAGAAGCATCTCCGGTAGAAGAGAGGGTAATCAAATTGTTTGAAAACACGCCTCTGTTCACGGGACTAGATGGGTTTGAGACAGGTATGAAATAATATGAAATAAATTGCATAATGTGTTTCGGGCAGGTTTGGGCACAACGTTATTAGTTCCCAGTCATTTATATAAATATTTTTATTAAATCAAAAGTCAAAACGTTTACTGTAAAATATATAAGAGTCTTATATTGGTGCATGTGCAATATTGTGTAATATTGCACATGCACCAATGAGCTGGCACACCTTTTCCGGTTGCATTCTCACCTCCCCATGCAGTAGATGGAATCTCCGTTTTAGCATTCCAAATGTTCTTTCAATCGTCACCCTTGTTTTCTTGTGTGCTCGGTTGAATGCCCTCTCATTTGGTGTGTTTGGGGTGCTGTATGGGGTCATTAAAAATGCCTTTAAAGGGCAACCACTGTCACCAAGCAGAACACCATCATCTAGATCATGGTGGTGGTTCTCCAGGTGAGTGCATATGTTTGATGTATGCAGTATATGGCTATCGTGTGTACTTCCTGGCCATTGTGCCACAATATTGATGAATTTTCCTAAAACGTTTTTAAAATATTTAGAAAATCCACCAACCCATAACCACTCTTTGTAGAAACACTAAGCCAAGAGAACAGTTCAAATACATATCCATGCTAGTAATGCAATTTACAAAACAAAATCTGTAGTAGGGTGGGGAGACCTCAGTAAAGTGCCACATCCCCAAAATTGGTCATGAACAAAATCTGAAGTTAACAGCATTTTCATCAGTGTGTACAGGAAAATATGAATATAATGTTACCTTCATGGTCGCAAATTCCTTGTACATTGATCGAGTGATACCGCTTCCTGTTTACATAATTGTACTCGTGCACGTACGGAGCCTGAATTCGGATGTGGGTACAATCAATACACCCAATTACGCACGGAAAGCCAGCTAGTGCAAAAAAATTATTTTTGATGTCTGCGATTTCTACGTTTGTTGGCCATTTAATAAACTCTTGCTGTCTCCTGTTAAGTGCCAAGGACACATCTCTTACGACAGGGGACACTGTACCCTTATCAACACCAAACATATCTCCAACAACTTGTAAGAAGCTGCCTGTTGCGTAAAACCTCAGTGCGATGAGTACTTGTGAATCCGGAGAAAGAGCATGGCCGTGTTGTGTATCCCTGACAAGGTCATCGTAAAGCAGATTTGTTATGTATTTTATGGCATTTCGGCCGAACCTATATCTTGCTCTTAACTGGCTGTCATTAAAGCCAATCACGTTTAGATTGCGTGGACGATATGTTCGTTCTTGACGTGGATAAACAACACGGAATAAATTGAACGGAAGGCCATCCATGTTGTTTATTTTTTTTTTTTTTATTTTAAAAGTGTTGGGCTAAAGTTAACCCACTGTTTGAGTTGGGTTAAATTTAGCCCATCGTTTGTCCCTGGGTTAGCGCTAGCCCACTTTTGAACAACGTAAATTAACCTAGGGATAAAATTTATCCCTGGGTTAGGCCATTTTAGCCCTGGGATAGCGTTAGCCGGCTTTTGAACAACCCGCCCCAGGTCTTTAAGTTGTTTACGAGATTCTTCGTCTGCTTTGCATATGCTAATGGCTTTGTCTAGAGTTAAGTCGTTTTCTCGAAGCAATCGAGCTTGAAGTCTGTCCGATTTTATGCCACAAATGATTCTATCCCGAATTAACTCTTCTTGTAGTTCTTCAAAACGACAGTTCTTCGCCAAAAGCCGTAGTTCAGTCACATATTGGTCAACTGATTCGGTTTCACTTTGCACGCGTTTATTAAACTTGTATCGCTGCATTGTCGTATTCTGCTTTGGTATGCAATAATCTTCAAACTTTTGTATTAACGGTTTTATCTTGTCGACTTCACTTGTCTCAAAATCAAATGTGTTGTGGATATCTCTCCCATCTTGACCAATAATATATAGGAAAGCACTGCATTTCTCTTTCTCAGAGGCTTCTTTCATGCAGACATCCATGTATAAATTGACTGTTTGTATCCATCTTTTCCACCGCTCAGACAAATCACCATCGCTCGAAACGAATTGCAACTCAGGAGGTTGTCTTAATTTATCCATTTTTCGAAATAAACTTCTCCAAACTCTACGATTTCTATTCAAGTTGAAGATCCTACACCTGACACCATGTTATGTTTGTCCATTTGTACGTGTAACATTTATTATAATATAACATACTTACATGAGTACAGCACTTTTATATAGCTAAATATTTAACATATTAAACAATAATACAACAGTGTGTACAATATATATTAATTGTCTTTTAATCTGATTCACTTTCAATATTTTCTTCATCAGACTCATCTACATCTGATTCATTCATTATTTCGTATATGTTGAATAGTTTTCGATTGAAAGTGGCCACAACTTTTCTTTTACCACTTTGATTCTTATTATAAATATGAGAGCCCAACATATAACATTTAAGAAAGCCATGAAAACAATTTAAAGTTTAAAAGTAAATATATTAGTAACATTTCGTCTTTAACCTAAGACATCTTCAGACAAGTGATATAAAATTACATTAGATTTGAATATATATATAATCTATTTACATATGTAAATTAATGACGGATAGGAAGGTATAAGATAGTACATGACGAAACCGCACAGACAAAGGGACATAAACACAATACAAAAACTATGAAAACACGCTACTATGAAAACACACCACTTTGATAACAATCAATATTGTTAGCGGAAATTGATGCCTTCTTTGGATCACCAAACTTCTCAACTGTTTTCCTACCTGGAACATAATGAAAGAGCCCCCTCCTTAAAATGAAATGTGCTGCCTTGAGTTGATCAGGGAATGGATCTTGCTCTGTGTGTTTGGTTGTGGGATGCACATTGAAGGCATTTCTTGCTTGAAATGATTTCCTTGTTTGGATGAGCAGGTCAATGTTTGCCATAAGTCGTTGCAACATTTGAACTGTTGTATGCCCTTTTAAGGTAGAATAACAATAAAATTATTTTTATGAAATTTTTGAGCAGGGAACAAAGGCCCGCTGTGCAGCTATCTAATTAATTCACTGTCTTATCTTATGACATACCTGTAATGAACAAGAGTATATTAAGTTGGTTATCATAGTGGGATAAGTACCCTATGACTGACACTACAATCGATATTATGACTGAATCATCACATACTTGAAGGTTGTAAATAGGATTTAAGACATCTTTATAAACATTGCTTTGTGGACATGTCGTGAGATAAAGATGATACAAAATAACTAGAGGATGTTTCCATGTTAATGATGGTTAAACATACCTGTTGAGTAGTTTTTCATATGCTGTACTATGCATGATTCAACCCACTCATCCAGAGCTAAATTATCGCCAATGTGCCCATTTAAACTGATGGAACAATTCTTTCGTAGCAGCTCTCTTGTAGCAAGTGGCCACATGGCAAGAAAGTTCACAATGTGTACCATAGCCTCTGTGTGATAGTTCTGTTTGTTTGATTGGGCAATAAGAGGCTGCATAATCATCCAAGATGCCTCTCGTGCAACTCCATTGCCGTATCTAATTGCATCACAATACATGTTGCAATGGGCCAAACAAAGTGACCATCTGTGCATAGTACTTAAAAGTTGCATCTTCACTATTGTCACTTATCCACTGCTTGAACTTGGATAATAATACTGTAGTGTGATTGCCAGTTGACCCTTTGCACTTAAGCAACTCATCTGCATCAGGAAATGAACTGGAGTTTTTAAACTCCATCACCATTGCTATTCCAAAAGCAGCCTCATTATCACGCACACCTTGTTCTTGGAATTTCTTTTTACCAAAGCTTTTGTTGGTTATCTTCTTTCTCAAAAGAACATTTTGTAGAATGTGCATAAAACCACCAGGAGACATTACTTTCTTGCATACTTCGTATACGTATCCTTTTGCATGCATGTCACCAGGAACTTCTGCACACCAACCATATGCTGCATTGGATCGACTTTTCACACCATGGACATTTTTGTTAGTCCCCTGGTCACCAACGGTCAATGATTTATTACTCCTTTTGTATTAATATGTTTCCTCTTTATCTTCTGCTTCCATAGGATGAGAGACAGAAGTACATGTTGCAGTGTTTGTTGTTTGACAGTATTTGTACTACATAGATTCTGGTGAATGCCTGTAAAATCATCCAACGTCAACGCGATAGCCCCACCCCCAGATTGAAAAATGGGCAAATGCCTGGGAGGGGGGGGGGATGGCCACAGGTGGAATTGACTGATAAATTAATCAAAAGGGGATTTTCAGAAAGAATGTTTGTGGACTTGTATGTCTTTGGTATGGTTATTATACGAAATCCCTCCATGCATAGAATAGTTATAATATGCATTAAGCAACTTAAATGCTGTTTTTAATACCTCCTGTATCAGCAAATTTAAATCAACTCAAATTATGCTTATAAAACCTATATAGTAAACATCAAATGTGGCCAAGGGTGTAAATCCTGGGGGGGATTGGGGGACAGAGCCCCCCCCACTTTTGGAGTAGGAGGGGACAAATATGTAATTGCCCCCCCCCATTTTTTTTACCATAGTGTCTTATTTAAGGTATATTAAATAAAAAAAAATCAAGAAATGGTCTTCACAAATGTGAGCTCGAAAGTCAAAACTATTAACAATTGACAATTCCATATAAAACAATTGATAAATAAGTAATTGGCTACTGTTTTATTGACCGCTGACTGACTTTGAGCTGGTGTTTTGTAACGTTATGCAAATAACTAATGTTAATTTTTTCAAAAGAAATTTAAGAGATATCGATAATTTTTTCAAAAGATATTTAAGACATATCGATAATTAAGAGATAACAATAATTTTTTCAAACGATATTTAAGAATTAAGAGATATTTAAGAGGTAAGTTTTGTTAAAGAGTTTATCTTTTGATTTTATCCACTATTTTCCTGGTCCCACTTAGCAGAGATTCAACAAATCATGGGATGACTTAGAGATATTGAAATAAGTCTTTATGAAACCAAACAAGCGCATGCTATTGTCAGGATGACTACATTACTGCCAAAATCATGTTATATACTGATTTCAATACCTCAAAAGTCGAAATCATCTCACGCTTTGTTGAATCTCAGCTAAGCAGGATCATGTAAAAGGCCCCCGAACTGCACTTTGTTTAGTCAGTTTAACGAAGTATTGATATCAACAGACTTTGAAAAGAATATCTCGCATTTCTTAGGCTTGCCAATTGCCATAATCGTATCATCATGTGAGTTGGTCTGTTAAAGATACCAGACCAGCCAAGTTGCACACTATGTGCCGTAAGGCTAACCTATCAAAACGCGCGAAGCTGTTGGGCATTGCACGATTTTTCAAGACCACAGATAGGCAAAATAAGGAAGCAACAATTTTGAATGCTGTTACTCAGGATTCCAGTAGCACTGTTACTCGCTCATCAATGTTAGCAGCTCAGGAAAGTGATATACTTCTTGTTAATCCCCACCCTGCAGTCCTGACAGGCAAATTGCCTTCTGGAGATGTATCGCAATCTACGTCTGCTGCAAATTTGCCAACAAACCTATCCTGCCCAAACTCGAGTATCGTGAGCTTAGACAAACCATACCAACCAGATGCATCTGTTATTCCTACTCAAAAAGCTGCAACACGAACCCTTTCCTTCCAAAAACATGGTACAATACTTTCAATTGGTCGCATAATGATATTGAATTAAAGAAGATTGTATGCTTCTACTGTGCCAAGGCGAGCGCAATGGGCTTGTTAGATCTGTCACAATGTTACAAACCAGCATTTATTTCCCAAGGCTTCAATAACTGGAAAAAGGCCATTGGGAAATTCAAATCACACACACATATACTAGCTGTTAATCAAATAGTTGCAGCTAAATGACCGAACATATCTGCCCAACTAGTCACCCATCAAGCGGAAGAGCAAAAACGTGCACGAAATGCTCTCTTGAAATTGTTCACCAGCATATAAGGTATCTTCTGCGACAAGGCTCCGGTTTTTGATGGCAATAGTGACTCAGAAGGCAACTATCTGCAGCTTCTTAAGGTAAGGTCGGAAGACCACCCTGATTTGAAGTGTTGACTAAACTGGACAACTAATTTTACTTCACCAGCAGCACAAAATGAGATGGAAATGTTTAGCCATTGCATCTTACGAGACATCCAAGAAGTTCAGATGAACGTATTTCTCCGTAGCAGCTGATGGGACACAAGATGTGAATGGTTTAAAGCAAGAATCAATCTGTATATGACACGTCGACTCTGGCTTATACATACATGAAGACTTTGTTGGCCTGTATAAAGTTTCAGTCACCACCGGTGATGTTCTG